TGGAGTCCCAGGACAGAACTGAGATCTCCTATGGCAAGTTTCAAGGGTAAAAATGCAAGAGGGCAAGTCCGGGCCGTGCGCGGCGTTTCAGAGTTCATGTGCGAATAGACTGCCTCTCAGACTAAAGAAGCAAAAACTGCAGATGTCGTGCCGCATAAGGCAGATGACATGTGCAGTGTATCCCAGGGATAAGAGTCCTGACGTAATCACGTTGTTAACAGATCCAGACACTCTTGCATTCTCGAACAGAATCCCCCACAACATTGCCCCTGTCGTCGATCTCAAACATGTTTCGTATGCCTTAGGCCCAAGAGATGGGAATCACCATCTCCTCTGGTTTCGCCTCTGCGGTCGGTCGTGGACCTGATGGACAGGGTGCACGCTATGGGTATCGCACTGTCTGATCAGCTGCTGTCGTCGATCGCTGCAAACTTTAGAATCAGACGACGAGGGTCTCAATCGGAGGTTGCGTGCCCGTCGTTCAGACTCCGTTCGGGTTCGGCGGACGAACCCTGAGGCTCGGTACTTGTTGTCTCGCTGGCACTCAGAACAAGGGGTTCGAGGCCAATAGGGAGCGATAGCGCGCCACGGTGAGGTAGTGGAAGGGCAGCACCACACAATACAGTGGACAGTGAGTTATTAGGACGACAACCCCAGGTTCGGAGACAACGTGGCTCGTGTGGGACTCGGGGAATTGGGCTGTGTAAGGAACAATATCCAATGCCCTTCCTATATCCCAATCGCACACACGTTCGTCTCCTCGTTGGTAAGGAAATCTAGGAGGATTGGAGCGGGGCTGAGCGATGAAGTACGTGTTCTTCCGTTCCCAATATTCCTGATATTCAGGGTCTCGCAAACTTTCTCGGTCTGTGATGCGAAACATCATGTCAATCCAGCGTAAACGCCGTCATGGCCCGCGCACAGATCCTGCAGACACGTGTGTAGGCACCGTCCCTTTCGGTCGGGCTTGCACGTGCGTGCACAAGATCTACTTACGGCTATGTGAGGGGCTGACTCTGGATTAGCAGGAGTGGGCGCAAGCGATGGTCGATCAGAAGATACGATCTGAATTAGCTTAATTCAAATTTCGTCACTTTTTGGTACCTATCATCATTGCCTTCCCTTTTCCTAAGGCGCCTGTCTTGTCCGTGCGCGACCCCTCAGTCCCTCCCGAACAGTCAATCGCTAACAACCAATCATGGGTCCGTACAATCACGACTTCCACGTACACATATCTGCTCTACCATTATGTGCGAATCCGAAGGATCCGCCGGAACGACACACAATCCCAAGTTTTCATCCGCGCATTCATTAAGACAACAAAATTCCCATCGGACTCATTCATGTTTAGCGAGGGTGAGGAATCGTCAAGCGTACGTATCTTAGATCGAAAGGAAAGACAACATGCATTCAAACAGAAATCCCCGATCTTGCAAAAATTAAGAATGAACATCACACCGCAAACAGAGAGTGAGGAAGTACAAACATTCATCGGACTGTCAAACATGCAAGATCTAATAGAGCAGGGAATAAACGATGACACACACCAAAATTCAAAAAAATTCACAAGGAAAATCCGAAGTTGTCACAACAAAATTGACCTAGGCGAAAATTCAAAATTTATACAAGAAGGTTGGAAGAAGAAGAAACAAAAGGAAAAGACACCATCCCAATCTGTCTCCACTCCCTCTCTCTCTCTCTCTCCACGTCACCTCCTATGCGGGCCGTCCGTCGCCGCGCACCAACACGGAGTCGTCACCCCGCTTAGCCCAAGAAGGCTCGTCAGGTTCGCCCGTGCGCCACAATCCGTCGTGGCCCACACGTCAACCCTGCTTACTTGGCGCCATCGCCCGACCCAATCTACTCACCTGCCAACTTACTCGTTAGCCGATCCTCACTGACCGCGCTAACCTTCCAAGACAACTAATCTCGCTTGCGGAATTTATAGCGTGCATGCTTGCGCGAGGGATATGAAATTAACCCTAAGTGATGAGAAAGAGAAGAGAGGAAGTGCCTACGTCAGCATGTCCAGTCCGCGGCGCGAGGGAGGGAGCCACTCTTTGCGCATCGATCCGGGCATGCAAACGTGGGAACCACTTAGAACAAAGGAAGAGAGTGTGCATGCGAAGATGAGGCCGGAAAGGAGGAAACACAAGGGCCATCAAGAACAAGAAAATTACAGTTGCGATTGCGCCCGCCAAAAACTACAGTTACACACAAGATTAAGGCGCGGATGGAAATAAGAGCCCAGACCCTGTCGAGGTACGGCGCGTGCGAACAAGAAGCGTTGTGTAGCCAAATTGCGAGGCGCCTAAATTCCTAGTCTAAATCCTAATTGCAAAAGGAAATTCTGAAAGAAAAACAATTCTGAGAGCCCGCGAGGGCTCGAAATCAGTTGAAAATTGAAAAAAAAAAATATTCTCGCGCGATGATCGCACCAAAATCCCCAGTGCCCACAACAGAATAAGAAAGAAAGAACTATGGTACAGTTATTCTTTGCCCTCGCTAAGGCGCGGTCACTCAATTGTCGGCGCGAGACTTTCCCGCCGCCGGCCCAACAAATTCCACCAAAAACGAAAAAGAAGTGAGGGCATCCATGCAACTTGCTCGCCCGACCCGTTTGCCCATCGCTCACCCCTTCGACCTGTCGTATTCTCCCCGACCAGCTTCGCGCAGAAAATCGCGAGGTTTCAAAAAGTGGTTCGTCACAGTGTGTTGGAAAGTGTTGGTCTTAGACACTACTGCTATTCGATCGGGAATGGGGGGCGGTGAAAAGGGAGGTGCAACTGCTGGCAAAATGATCAGTCCTTGGGTTACCCGGACCCCCACCGGCATCCCCACCCCATCTCTGACTACCGATGTTGGGGCGGGGGGCAACATGCAATCCCTTCATTGTGAGGTCGCTATGTTTGCAGGGGGGCCGTCTATACAGCCTTAGGAGTAGTGGTACGTAGGTAGTGAAAGGCAAAAAGAATTTGAGAGGAAAAAAGAGAGAGAAAACAGTTCCTAATAAAAAAGACAAGGTTAAAAAAACAAAGAGCAACAGGATCTGATCACCTCGAGTGACATTGAGCAGAGACTGCTGATGTTCATAGGGGGAGGGGACCGGAGGGGAGGCACAGTGACTGGACCATCGAAGAAGCTGGGTCCTGATGCTACCGGCTGACTCGTGGCCGGTATCGCCCACCTGCTGGTGGGTGCAGCTCCCGCATGTTCCCTCGTTGGAGGGTCGAGTACGGATGTGGCTGCTGCGGGGTTCCCCGTAATACTATAATGACAACAAAAAAACGGCCTGAAAGGCTGTCCTGTCTGGATTCCACAGGTAATTGAGTTGGTTGGGCTTATATATATATCGTCACAAATAGATATATATATATAATAATAATAATAAAAAAGGGATAATTTGCAAAATACCCCCACAAGTAGAGATCTATGCCAGAATGCCCCTGAAACATGTGGGTAGAGCGGAATGCCGTTTCGGGCCGAAATCTTTGTGTTGTGTCCCTGTCAGGCGGGTGTGCAACTTTGCAATCTGGACCTCCCCGTTTGTGGCCTTTTGCAATAGCACCTAGGAGAAGTTGGCAAGTACTGGGGCATTTGGCAAAGTTGGACTATACCCCGTAGGGGTATATTGCAAAGTTGGCCAACTGACGCCAGGGGTATTTAACAAAACATTTTTTTTGTCAAAGGGGCATTCCGCTCTACCCCATCTTTTAGGGGCATTTTGGCGTACGTCTCAACTTCTGGGGGTATTTTGCAAATTATCCCCCCCAAAAATGGTCCGAATAGCCGAATGTACTGGTCCGTGCGGTGGTGGAGGTAAATGTCGAATGTTGGGTAGTGGAGCTAGGCCCAGAGGCTTGAGTGCCAGTTTTGAGCTCACCACCTGTGTATCAGCAGCTTCGTCCAGCGACTCGAGGGGGTTACTGCGACCGGACAGCTACCGTAGTGGATGAGCTGACTATTGCCCCGGGGCTAGGTCCCACTTACACGAATTAAGCGATGTTGACCGTAGATAGCAAAGATCAACGGCCAGATTGTCGTAATCCGTGCAAGTGGGACCTTGCCCGCGCTGAGAATCCCGCTGGGGCTTTTTGGTCGGCGGCGGTGCGGCACCACTCAACCTCACGGGACCCCGCGGCTCCGTCAAATACCTCGTACCTGTGGGATTGCCTTGTCTCCGGGCTCGAACTCCGCCGAGTAACATGTCCGCCGAATTTCCCCCCGATGGTTGTCCCGCCGGCCCTTCACCTGCTTGTGCAACGTGTCGCCTCGGATTATGCGGGCTTCGAACGAGTCAGGAAGGTGTGAGGTCTAGGGGTGCTTGCGGTACGGCGCCCCGACCGGAGTCAGGGCTAGGGTGATTTGGGGAAGGCGCCCCAGGAAACTTGCGCGGCGAACGGCCGGGCTCGGTGAACACATGGCGGGCACTCAGCGAAGGTAGTGAAGAGCCCCGCTTCACTACAGACCACATGTGCAAAACGAGAACGAATCTTCCCCTAGAACATGGGAAGATACAAGGCCATATTGTTTGTCTTTTCTGCATGCGGTGAGTAGTGGACCGAGGCCCGAGTCTTGGCGGGGCGACGTTGTCTTTTCCTGCCGCAGGATTCTGGTGAGCGGTGGCGCGGCCTAGTGCAGTAGAACAAGCGCAGCTTCCGGAGGCAGGGCCTGCCTACTACTGCTTGCGGTGGCGCGGAATTGACGACGGCGGCCCTCATCGGCGGGCAGCGTAAAGCCACCACAGCTTGCCGTGTGTCCAGCAACAGGGCAACGACCGTCGCACGTCGCACGTCGCACGTTCTCCGTCTCAGCATCCTTCCCTTCTTGTTCTTGTTCTTCTGCCTACTCCTCGTCCTCCTCGCCCTCCTTGTCCTCCGTGCCCTCCTCTCCTTCTGCAGTCCAGTTATCTCGAGTTCACCATCGCCTATGCTTTCTCCCATTCCTCATCGCTGTTTGCTATTGTCTCGGCCATTGCGGGAGTCGGTCTTTCAACGATTGGGATGATATGCTTGTTTCCCAAAACCGAAATAACAGTTCGCTGCATTAGCGACGAGACACATTGACACCTTCCGGTCGCAGGTTCCTTGCATCGGCAACTCCGATGATGTAGTAGCGTGCGATTGCAGTGCAGCGGAACGGAGCCCTTGGCCTCGCCACAGAGCATTATGGCATTCCGCTGCTCTTGCTCCTGTTGATCGCAAAGCGTGCGAGCGGTGCATCATGCAAGGAGCGGTGGTGGCCAGCACTCGTAGGTCCTCGCAGGAATCAAGATCGTATCTTCTCGCAACGACTACCTATCGATACCATTCCTTGCAAGCACTGAGGTGGTGGTGGTGGTGGTCGTGGTTGGAACGATTGTTGGGATTTCTAAATCCATCATAGAATGTACCCAACCAGGTCCAAATCCTCGTCTATCTGCCATTTGCTCTCTATATACTTTTATACACTATAGAAGAGGGGCTATTTTCAGAGTCCCAGAACTCTGCCTCTGAGGACCGGTCTTGGAGACACGTGTCAACTGCTGGAATCGTGTGCCCGATCGCCGCCTGTGCGCTCTCTTGCCGTACCGGAAGTGACCTGCGACAGGCCATAGACAGTTTATCATCGAGTCTTCAACGATATAAATCATATAATGTCCTTCTTTCTTAGCTAATCATTAATCAGTTGATTGGTCGATCAGATCCTGTTCAATTTTCAGATCCGTCCAACTCGTACGCCTCTACCTGTAGCCGGCTCTTCGCGGTGGGTCGTTCGGTCCTTAGGTCGGGCGATCGAAACCATCTACGTTGAACAATTGGACAGGTCGAAGTGAATATTCCGTTTCTTTGTTTTGAGTACCTGGTTCCTGTGAGTCACTGAAGGTAATTGGTTGGATTTTGGATTGATCGGTTGAGAACGGAACGGCCAGAAAGCTGTGTGCGCGCGGATTCGTATATTTCCTCTTTGCTGCTGTGGAGTTCTCCTTCTAAATTAGCGGTCTTATTTAGCACGATAGGGTCTATCTTGCCGCCTTTCTCCCGCTATTGCCACCGTTCTCCGCATCTGGCGATCCGTATCACCACGGCCATCGCCATCGCCTCGCTGTCGCTGTGCATTCTTTTGTGACTTAGTCTCGTGGTATCGGCTTTCGGCATCGCAGCTCCCCTGCCTCCTAACCGAACCACCTACTTTTGCTTTGCTCTCCATCGGGGTCTCCCTTATCTTTCCCTGCTCGATATCCTGTCGGCTATCACTTAGGCATCCTTCCCTTCTCGCCATAAGGACTTATGTGTCTCTCTGCCTAGGGTGTGCGTCTTCATCAGTGTGTGCGCCTTCATCAGAGTGAAATACGTATATCCAATCTCAGCCACGACCAGCTGTGTAACGAGGTCCAAACTTAACAAATCTCAGCCACTACCAGCTGTTTAGCGAAGTCGAAACTTAACATTGTACGTGCTTTACAGCTTCTCGCTTATTGACGCTGTCCAATCCGAAATTCAATCTGCCGCTTATCCGGCTTCATATCGTCTCGCCTTCCTCTCCGCACTTCTCTCTCTCTCTCTCTCTCTCTCTCTCTCTCTCTCTCTCTCTCTCTCTGTGGGTGCTTTCGCCTCTTCTTCCGCGTCATCAGCGCTGTCCTCGTCGACATCCGATTTGTCAGCGGTAGCGCTACGTGTCCTTTTCCCCTCTGTACTATCCTCCCAGCCACTCCTCCAGCTTTCACCCTCTCTTGGACCCTCCGCCGTTTGTTATCCAGCGCGTCGGAATTTGTAGGGGCAGAAGTAAATTGGGTGAAAATGTGTCGGTTGATGGCATATCTGGGGTCACCATGCCTGTTGGCGGATCTGGTGACGAAACCATCTCGCTCGCTGACGCGGCAGTCTTACGATGCGAAGGAGAGATTGACGGGCCATGGTTACTTGAATGGGGACGGTTTTGGGGTTGGTTGGTACACACCGGAGACGCATTCGAGGGGAGACCCCACTCCCTGCGTGTTCACCAGCATTCAACCGGCGTGGAACAATGGGAATCTTGAGAGATTGGCCAAGAAGATCGTCTCGCCGCTCATTTTCGCCCACGTGCGGGCGGCATATCCAGGGATACCAGTCAGCGATTCCAACTGCCAGGTGCGTTGGCTGTTTGTTTTATGCTTGTGAAAGTGAAGATGTTCAAATGCATGATCTGTACCTGGATGTCCAGAGGCCCAGCATTTTGACCGGTTGATATCGTCCTGTCAAATAAGATGTCCTGAGGCTTTTGTGTTGGGGCTTCCTTTGGAAAGGTGTGTCTGCGCATATCCGGGCACTCTGGCTCTTCCCCTCGTCTCTGCTTTCTTCAGGCTCGCGCTCCCCCCCTCTTTCCCCTCCGATTCCCCTTCGTCTTTCCCTTTCTATCTCTCTCTCTTCTTTCTCTCTCCCTCGTTGGCCATCTGTTGATCGAAGTCGCACGTGAATTTTCTTCCTGCTATGCATTCTTATCACTGTTACACACTCTTATCGCTGTCTTTGCTAAGCTCTATTCGATCCTTAACTTTTTTGGGCATCAGTAACTTTTTTGGGCATCAGATTGCGTCGTCCAATCTTATTTTGCCGTTTCTTTTTTTTTACCTATCTGGCTTCATACACTACTTTGTACTCGCTATGAATGTGCTCGATTTCTTGTTTCATCCCTCTTTCTTTCCCCAAAACGTTTGCAGATCGTATAAATTTCAAATTACCTTTCCCGCCTCTTCAGATGCGCAGTCAGTCTTCAATCCTAGCGGGGTTTGTCTGGCGACTATGCGTCTCGATCTATTGCTATCGTGTGCGACGATGTCAGTGGACTGTTTATTGTTGAAATGAAGGTGAAGAATATCTATTCCTGTCTTCGCCGTCACTTTTTCTTGTCCACAGATTGTCCACAGACAGTCGTCGGTAGGACAACTTTCTCACGATGGCGAAGTGAACAAGTCGGCCATCCAGCCAGCCACTTCTGGGCTGAGGAAAAAAGCCACCTATCGGTAGTTTGGAGAAAGGACAATTTGTCAAGAATAATTCGTCAATCGTCAGTCGACGGTAAGAAATACGACGAGAAGAGACCAAAGCGGGCAGGGAAAAATGCAGGACATGAGAAGGGATGATGATCGCAGGCTGAGATAGTAGTAGGCGCGGTGACAGTGATCAACGGAGGGGACGGCTCTCAGATTGAATGCGATCTACGTCTGGCTTGCGTGATTTTGCATCGTATCTGCGAGAGCATACTTTCTATGGCGAAAGCAAACGAAGCCCACCTCCTGGTTCTAATTGGTCGACCATCTTTCCTTTCCCACTGAGTGATTCCTTTGAGACCTTACCGTACGATTTGGCCTGTTTCCCTTTGGACTTTGGATCTTACTAGTATTACCACCCAAAGTCTGTCTGTGCGGCGCTCATTTGCAAGTTTTCAGACGGTTGTGGGGAAGAGTTTGTGGAGCGCCGAGCGTGGAGAAGGCGCCACTAAATAGATAATCAAGCTGGATGGGAAGGAAACGGAGTAGGAGTCCAGATGTGCCGCAAGTTTATGCTTATTGCTATGAGCCCATAGAAACTTGTCTCGTTAGCCAAGCGATTAATCGATTAATCAAATAACCAATGGGTTAATTATTGTCGTCGAGTAATGAATTTACTGATCCTGTTAACCTATCCGTTGATTAATCCATTTATCAAGCAAACATTGAATGGATCAACTAACCAATTAATCAGTGAATCAGTTATTTATATATATTACTATAATTACTCCTTTGGGGGATTCAACTTTGACGTTCCTGCCCGCTATGTCGGCGTTTTTTGAACCGAAATCGTCAGCGCTTACCGACCTGACGATTTCGGTTCAATCCCCCCCCTCCCCCCCTCTTGCCCCCCCCCGAAATTGCGGCCGGGAACGTCAAAGTCAAATGCCCAGAGGGGGGTAATAAATTTGAATTGATCCGTCAATCAAGGCCGGAAATAAAGACAAAGTAGTTACTTATAAGTAATTAATTAATTGATCAGTCAATCAAGGGTAGAAATAAACACAACTATCGGAACTTGGATATATTTCTGCAGTGTTTGCCGCTTCACTACCGTAGTCTGCTTTCTGCGGAGAGATGGCGGCTAAAAATCAACTACGAGTTCCAGATCCGATGGCGTTTTTTAAGAAGTTGAGAACGTTGTTTTTGTTTTTTGTTTCACTGTCTTTCCTGGTCAATTATTGTTCCGGATCCCATTTCTATTCCCGGTTCCATTCCTGTCCCTGATCTGATTCTTGTTTCCTGGGCCCATTCGTGTTCCCGATCACATTCCTGTCCCCTTGTCGCTTACTATCTTGACCTCACTCTTTTGTATTTCCAATCTCACCCTCTCATCTCTGCCTTCTTGCGATCCCGGGAACTGATTTTCGCCCATCTCTCTCTCTCTCTCTCTCTCTCTTTCTCTCTCTCTGTGTGTCTCTCTTTGTGGCTTCTTGGCATGGGCGTGGTTTGCGGCCACCAGCCTTTCGTGTGCGGTCGATATATGTGGATGCACAACGGCACAGTTGGGGGGTTTCTCAACGTGAGACGGAAACTGCTGAACCGACTTCGCGATGATGTGTACGATGAATGTCCCAGTTTCGAATCGGACTCGGGGATCAGCTTCGCCATATTCCTCAATCAGATCGAGAATCCAATGGTGGAGCTTCCTCCTGATGAGCTGGCTGCCAAACTCCAGGCCACGATTAACGAGATCCAAGCGGTGTGTGCTGAGGGAGGTTGCGCCGAGGAAGAGAGTTTGCTGAACTTCGTCGTCTCCGATGGCAACACTGTGGTCGCCTCTCGCTACTGCAACGTCCCTGGAGAGCACGGCGCTTCTCTGTATTATGCGTCGGGATCGCATTTCGTCAGTGTGGAGCCGGACAGTAACAACTATTTCGTGAAGCACGAGGAAAAAAGACCTCTCCTCGGTATTGTCGCTTCGGAGCCTCTCACCGATGACAGCGCGGACTGGCTGAGAGTGCCACGCAACAGCATGGTCGTGATGACGCGGATGAAGGGTGAGTTCGTGGACGTCATCGTCGTACCGATCAATGCGCCACCCCCGGTGGCAAAGGACGTCTCCCGGTGCTTTAAGGCTCTGGAGAACGGCGGCGTGGCGACTGTGTTGCAGGGAGGCGAGGGGCCCGGAATGTGGAAGAGCGAAGTCTTGGACGGTGTGCGGGTGGTAGAGGAGGCTCGTCATGCCTTCAGCGCTCACGGACGGGCTGTGATGGCAGTTGCGTGCGACGGAAGTCGTCTCTGGGCCGGCCTGCAAGATGGCGCCATCAAGGTTTTCGACATGACCGAATTCCGTTGCGTGCACACCTTGGTCGGCCATAGCCAGACCGTGCTTGCGCTGAAAATTCACGGAAAGCAACTGTACAGTTTGTCAACGAAGATCGTGAAGGTGTGGGATACGCTGACGTACGAGTTGTTGTCAACGATCCGTTACTCGGACGGCGACGTGTTCGCGCTGGGGCTGGCCGACGGCCAATCCGTTCGAGGTCCAGCGGAGATGCCGGTCTTGCGGTGCTATCGACCTAGCTGCCAACAGGCGGCGCCGACGAGGGAGCACGATTCCTTTAGCGAGAAATTCGCGTCGCCCGCGAGTGGAGCGGCAATGGGAGGGGTAGAGAAGGCCGTCAATGGAGAAAATGGGGCGTACTCAAGGGGCAACGGGCCCAGTTCCAAAGGCGCGAGCACACCCCGCGAAGCCGAGGGGGCTGGGGGGGGGGTAACGACGACCGGGAGGGGCCGCATGGGACGCATGCAAGGGATGTCAACGGCAGCAGGAGGGGAGCGGCTCCCTACTCCTCCATGTCAGATGAGAGGAGGGGTAGGTGGATGCGTTGCGCGAAACGCCGCCGCCGTTGCGCCAGGGGCATCCAGCAGCAGGGGGGGGGAAGGTGGAGTAGACGAACGGCTGCTCGCTCGCCGAGGACTCGCGAGTGACATGCGGGTGGGAATGGACATGGCCGGAGACCTTGAAAAGGAGGTGGAGGAGTATGACGATGCCAGTGATGTGGAATTTCAGTCTCCGTGCGGGGGTGAAGCAAATGCATGGATGGAGGGGGAAACGGGCAGGGAGGAGGACGTTCCTGCTGGGCCTTTCGGCGGAACCGATCATTCCTCTTCAAATACTAATTATAGGCGCTTGCTTCTGGCCAATGGATCGCTAATACCTGACGGTGGGGATTATTTTGGCGATGGCAAGGTCGCCAACGGGCAGACGATCGGCTATTGCTACGAGGGGGATGTAGGGCCGGGAACAGGAACGGGGATGAAAAGATCAGGAAGCTTTCCGGGGACACCGGTGCCTGGGGGAGCAATTGGTAGTACTGGTGGTGGTGGTGGTGGTGGTGGTGGTTTGCCTGTACAACATGAGGCCGTACCGGTTGTGTCCAAGTCAACGTCGCTGACTCTGCCGCTCACAGACGGGACAAGGATGGGCCATTGCAGCCGTGTATTCGCCATGGCCGTTTGTGGTGTGCACCTTTGCAGCGGTGCGGGAGACAGCTTTGTCAAGGTGCGTATTTCTCATTAAAAGAGGGAAAGGGAAGGGGGGTGGGAGCAGGGGGGAGTGGCGAGAGAAAGATTGAAGAGGGTAGTGATGAAAAGAACCAGAAACCCTGGATGAGTTTTTCCTTTTTTCCTTTTTTTCCTGTTTTTTTTGAAGATTGCGACTGTCTCTCTGTATCATCATTAAACTGACCGGACGCAGGTAATTCGGAGTTATTTTGTTTTGTTCATCTGATTGCATCTGGATTCAACTTGCGTCTGTATTTCAGCAGCATCTTTTATTATTTTAGGCTCTTCCCCCGGTCCCCCACGCTCCCCTCTCTCTCTAAGATCGTACCTAAGAAACTCTCTGTTTGTCCAAGAACACAGGACCGGTACTAATGAATGGAAACATACCAGAGATGCACTCTATATGCTTCTGTCGTGTCGTGGCTTGTTAATGACGAATGACTGTTGTTGTAATGTCAGTCTAAATGCTTCTCTTCTGTCTTGCCTTGGTAATGACGAATGACTTTTTTTTTAAATTTATTATTATTATTTATTATTATTATTATTATTATTATTATTTTTAGACGAATGACTTTTTGTTGTAATGTCAGATGGAAAAGGCTGTCTGATCACGTTAATGCAAAGATAGTTCTTTGTGACATCCGCCCTTGGAACGGTACAGAGAAGATCAGCGTGGCCCGTGCAAGGTCTGGAAATTGTTGTTTGTTGATCGGAGGACCGAAAGGAAGGTCAGTCTTTATCACGGCCACACCACCAGTTCCTATCCTAAGTAGTGCCAGCGCCTAAGTAGTTCCCGGTAGTCCTTCGTGACATCCGTTCAAAATTAAAATTGAGCGATACAGAGAAGATAAGCATGTCCTTCGGGACATCCGTTAAAATTGGAACGATACAGAGAAGATTAGCATGGCCCCTGCGCAAGGATGACACGAAAAAAAGAAAAAGAAAAAAAAAGAAGAAGATAAGCATGGCCTCTGCGCGCAAGGATGACACGCATAATGCGTAAGAGCATTTCGATTTGGGCCCGTGCCGGTAGCAAAAGCCGCAGGTCTCCGTTGCAGGCTTGCGAGCGTTGGAAGGTAAGCTTCGGAAGGTAAGCTTCGTCAACTTAGGGCATCGCCACACCACTGTCGAAACAAAAAAAGAAAGAATGCATCTTCCCCAGGAAGTGGTAAGATGCACCCGTTGCTATTCATAGTAACGGATGCATCTTGCCACCCTCTGTGTGAAGATGCACTCAAACTTTTTTGGATTCGACAGTGGTGTGGCGAGTTCCTTAGGCTCGTGTGAACTGGTGGTTAAACACTTCTGTTTTTTTCTCCGTCCTTGTGACGATGACGGGCGAGCTTTTTCTTTTTCCTGTTCTTTTGTCTGGATTCTGTCTGAACTTAGTGTCTGGTAAATCGTGAGGAAACTGTTTGTAGATTGTATGTAACTGTTTGTAGATTGTATATATGATCGGAAGGCAATAAGGAAGGTCAGTGTTTATCAATTCTATTGAAGTTTCTCGTCGACCTGCCCTATCAAAATATTTGTTTTCGCCGCCCTTTTGACGATTCATTGGCTAGTCTTTTTCCTGATGAAAAGACAGTGAATCCCGATTTTTAACGTCAGCATTCCGATATCTCTGTATGGGTAAGTGTAGGTGTTCTGTCGAGGTAAGATTTCCCTAACACACACAAACAGTATGTACTAGGGCTTAGAAAACAAATAAGGAAGGCGAAAACAGTACACAGTGCACAGGTAAGATTTCCCTGGACACCTACGCATGCACAGTGTATTAGGGGTCAACGAAAAGGAGGATGGAGAAAGATGTTCAATTTACTATGTAGGATAACTGCAAGTTGATGTGGAAGTAAGATTGAGGGAAATCGATCAAGCGTACCGGGGTGAAAACGCGTAAAGTAGGAATCACGCATGACCTGCCATCTTCAGCGTCCTCGCTTAGATTCGGTGTAGCAACCTAGTTTTTACCCCTCTCTCTCAGTCTTGATCTGCAGCTCCACATACTCTCCCTGTCTACCGTCTTCCCCCGAACGTAACGCACCCTAAAAATGAATGTATACAAGCTATATTTCCGCCAGATACAGCCAAAATAAGGGTGCGTTGTGTTGGGGGAAGACGGTAGTAACTTAGTTTTGCCGCTGTCTCACGGTAGTAACTTAGTTTTGCCGCTGTCTCTCTTCTCTCTCCCTGTCTAGAAAACTTAGTTTAGAAAACTTAGTTTTCTCAACTCTCTCTCCCTGTTAGTTTTCTGAACTCTCTCCCTGTCTTGTTATGCAGCTCCACACTCTCACGTCTGGTTGTGCAACTCCACATTTTGGCATTTCCACCCAGTAGCTCCTTCGGCCTTTCTTCTTTGTCATGCTGCATGGTGCAGGGCCTTCCTTCTTTGTCATGCTGCATGGTGCACGGCCTTCCTTCTTTGTCATGCTGCGTGGTGCAGCAGAGCCTATAATGAACGGTTTTCGTATCCAGTCTCTTGGTGTCTTGTATGCGACTCCACATTTTGACTTGAATAAATAAATAAACTACATTTGGACATTTGCACCCAGTAGCTTCCTGGGCCTGTCTTCCTGTACAATGCTGCATAGTGTCTCAGTGCTCTAATGAGCTATTTCGGCATGACTTCTCTTCCTCTACAAGACGCGTGGTCGGTGGTTTCCCACCTCAGCTTTGGCTCCTATGGTAGCTGCCTCGGAGCATGCTCACACTACAACTCCCCGGATGCATCTGACCGAGTGTTGGCCGGTCCTGGATGTATCTGACTACATGAGTTGGAGAAGTTATTATGTTTTTTTTTTTTCTTCCGTCTTTCTTTTTTTGAAATCCGGCAACGGCCAACTAGAGGGAGCTGATAAGAGTCCCCTAGCAGGCCTATGGCCGGGTCTCCGATGTATTGGTGAGGAGCAGCACCTGCTGGGAACCGGGCCCAGCGTCGCTTATACAAGGATCATGTCATTGTCAAGGTACCTGGGCCCTTACCCGGCTTCGGCTGCAGGATGAAGGAACTTGCTGCAAAATGGAAAATGGAGTATTGTTCAACCCCTACCCTGTCGCCCTAGCTGTCTCGATGGTAGGCACAGGTCACGGTGCTACACAGCACACCATGCTCAGTGGGGTGCCCCGGGGAGTCAACTGTCCAGGTTGTCAGGCGAGTACCAGTTGCTGCTACGCAGCAGAACCTGGAAGGTCACCTGGCCTACTTCACTAGCTCGCTCAAACAGCTGAGCCTATTGGCCTCCTGCTAACCAGGGTCGGTGTCGTCCATCGGGTCAAGGGACTCTTTCAGTCATCCCTCCATGCTCGGCCAGGAGGTCCCGGCATCGCCTGCCCCAGGACGGGGGATGTACCTCTGCTTTGCCTACCCCGCAAACTTGAGGCCCCACTGCTGCTGACTGGCAGCCTCCTCTTTGGCTCTGCTTCCCTGTCAACCAGTCCCTGTCCGGTGTCCGCAATTGCAGGCAGTCCTCTGCTGCCTCAGTTTGCTGCGGGATCGCAGTCACTAGACTCTGACTGGGTACACTGATAGTTTTTGCTACCAGACACTTCCTCTGATCGGTTTGCTTGGTCCGCCCACCTAAAGCGAGTCCTGCTGCTGTGGAGGTCGCCTGTTCTGCCAGCGCCTAAGTCATTGTTGACAAATGCCTCTAATTTGTTGCACTATGCCCTCACACTCTTTTCCACCTTGGCATATTGCCCGCTGCGTCAGCGCTCTAATCAAGGGAGGAGCGTCCACAATCTCTCCTCCTCTGTACATGCTGTATTGTTCTCAATGGTCTCAGCATAGCGGTCACGGTGACTCGACTCTTCTCCCCGATCGCCCCAGTGGGGTGCACCCTAGTACTACCATGCCGTAGTGTGATTTGCTGAATGTCTCTCTGCATGGTCACACCATGCCTCATTGCTCTCATACTACGTTCTTCCCACTGGCATAACGCCTCGTCATCATGAATGCATACAAACCCTGTTCTTCCCCGAATATGGTCATGGTGCTGGGTTATTGTGTTTGGCGACCCAAATACACTCGTCTGTTGGCTGCGATTGGTTAACCAGTGGGCCCTTTTTCTAAGGGTGGGACGGTTACTCCAGGAATGTCAAAATCCTCTGTCAATAGTAGGACACCCTCCGACCTCACTCCAGAACCCCTCTCCCAGTGGCATGGCGAATTCCTTTCTGTGTTGAATTCGGCACAGTCTCCCCTTAAACCATTTAGGGTCTCTCTAGGGCATCCCAGGTGACATGAATTTAAACCGTTTATGGTCTCTCTAGAGCATCCCGGATGACGTGAATTTAAACCATTTATGGTCTCTCTAGAGCATCCCCGATGACAGAAATTTAAACCATTTGGGGTCTCTATAGAGCATCCCTGATGACGTGAATATCTAGTCTACTTCTAAATCCGGTAGCTGAAGATGTACCTGCCCGGGTTGAATTGCGTCACTCTTTGATAACGTGAATTTCCAGTTTTTCTCAATTTGTGCCTGCGTGGCATCCTTGCTCAGGGGCCATGCTAATCTTATCTGTATTGTGACTTTGTTTTATTACTATTATTATTATTATTTTTAATGTGTGTTCCGATGGACCACGGATCAGATATTAAACTCATCAGAACAGACACTACACTTGATCTTAGCCAAAAGGCCGAGAAAGGTATTGTATTGTGACAGTTTTAATTTTAACAGAGGTACCAAGGACGTGAATATAAATTCTTCCGTACTGTGCCGCATGATGTATTGGTCCATGTTCACTCTAGTAGAGCCTGCACTAATGTAGAAATTTTGTTGGGTTCTGTCAAGCTTGGGAGGACTTTTGTGCACTGTGGTTCAGATTCACTGCAGTACCAAAATATGTTCCGCATTTAGGTACCAAAAGTGTTCCTCATTTAGGTACCAAAATGTTCCTCTGCACTGCAATCAAGTGAGATGCTGACCGATCCTGTGACCGTCATGTCACATCAGTGACCAGGATGATGCAGTTGCTTGCCTCAGGGCGAACAAA